TATTAACCAAATTTGCCGTATTATTAATTCCTGCTAGCAGGCAAGACACTAAGAGGTCTCGTGTGTACAATACATAATCCGAGTACCTTCACTTTGCTCCTTCGCCTTTTTGTCTAGACACTCCCAGACACTACATAAAACACTTTGTCTTCTTGTCGAATTATTTACGTTGCCGGAGGAGATACCTCTCGAGCGGAGAGAGGTTCAGTAAATTCGATTTCACCCAATAACTTGGACTTCGAGCAACGAAGACGGGAGAGCTGATGCCCAGATCCTTCGGCTGGTTCTTTCAAGTGTGTGTCTACCGGTCAGGCCGGGAAACATCGTATAATAAAGCTATTGTCTACTCGTCTGCGGTGACCCCGAAAGTTAGATGTTATGTTGTCGGTGCGTTTTTGACGCCGTAAACATGTCGAGGAATACCCATGCGGTTAATCACTTCACGAAATAAGGAGACACCACTTTGCTAGTCCGTGACGTGGTGCCTCCTTTCGCCGTCTTTCAGTGGACCTCATTTCTCTTGCCCCGAAGCGCAACGCACGTACCGAAGGAAGACGTCCATTGCTGCTCTGCGGAGACCGCGCCAGAGCAAGTCCTAGCCTTTTATGTTAAAGTTATAAAACGTGTGAAATAAGGGTGAATAAGGATCACACGGTGACCAAATGCCACGGCGTACGGTACCACCGTGCGCACGGTCCCAACCGGCTGGGGTCACTCCTTATGATTCAAAATTAATTTACAGGAGCTCTAGTCAATTTTTTTTAGTCTTGGGAGGTCGATTCATTTTGAAATAGAGAGACTCAGTTAACTTTCACATCTTTTTCTCACTTTAAAAACTCTTCAATTTGCCTGTCCACTTCTCTAAAAGTGTGAGTTTTACACTACTATACGTCCTCTCGTCGTCTCGTCAATTTTATCGAAGTTTCCTACGGGAAACTTCTGTTTTTTGTAACCACTGTGAGTGTAAATGATTGTAGAGACTTTTTGGTAAAGTCTATCCTCACAACTTTAAGACCGAACGAAGGAAAGGGGACGTCCTGTACGGTGTGTGCGGTTGAAGTCTTTTATAGGCTGAGAGAGGTCAGACATCTTAAGGTGACCTATTAGGTTTTAAGTTAAAGTTATCGCGACGGAAAAATGGTCTCCGATAGGCGAATATGACGGTCTCGGACTAAGACGTCGAAAAAGATACTTTATTCTAGGTGTGGTCTGAAAGTGACGGAGGTCCCTTCTCCCTAATAAATGAAATAGAAGTTAAACGAGTATAAATCAAATATTTTTCCGAACGACTCCATTTTGGAACATTACAAATCGCTTTGTAATAAAGATTTAGAAAGAAGGATAGATTAGAGTGTTTTACCTCACTACGTGTATCACCAAATAGGTCCCCACATATCTCATTAGAGTTCTCTCCCCGAATTAAACTCTCCAGGTAAAGTAAAAGGGACGTGACCGCCCGACGTGTTTGCGTACGGCTTGTCCATATGTGTTAGGAGGGAGATGTTGAAAATTATTAATATTTTGTGGGTTCTTTTCGTTTTCCTTTCCTTTCAATTTCGACGAACACGTACTAAAGAAGAAAGGGTCGTCAGGTGAGTCATCTGCCTCTCTTCTACCTCACTGCGTCCCTTTTCCCCTCACTTCTCTCACCCTCACTCCTCTCTCTCTCTCTTTTCCGTATACACCTCACTCTTACTCCTCTCTGTCTGTCCTTCTCGCCTCGCTCTCTTGACCTCTCTCCCCCGCCCTTAACCCATCGACTTGACTACTGGTTCCTTCATACTTGTGAGTGAACCGGTCTACGAAGTAACTCGTCGCGGCTCCTAACAGCTAAGGAGAGGCCGATCAAACACCTGGTCGTACACCTGCGCCCAATCCTACGCTCTGAGCTCGATCGGCGCGCCGCCACACCTTAGCGTCTTCCGTCGGCTACGTACGTCCAACTAATTTAATGGTGTGTAGAGACCCACGCGTTAATCTCGATGTTAGTGACCGGCTCAGCTAATCACATCGTTAAAATCGCTCTCGACATCAGGACACAGTAGTAACTACATCATCTATGTTTGTGGGTAAATAATTCGTCAGTACCTTGTTACACATATAGATATTGCATACAGTTAAGTCTAACAGCAGAGATGTATGATTAAACGTTACTATTTAATAAACATTCGTAGTCACCGATTAAATATAGATCATAGCTGTCCTTTGTGTTAAATAATTTTACAATAAAACACCTGATACTTTTAACTCCTATGGGAATTTCTGATATTTATTCAGAGGTATGACATACCAGATAGTTCATTATACATTTAACCTTATTACCGTAAATTGACTGAGCTTGTAATCCTTGTTTGTCTCCTTAAAACTATACGGGATGAAATTAACAAGGGACGTGTAACAGAGGTACTACACATGGTATATTAGGTGAGAGAGTAGCCATCATATTCCTCATATACTCGGCTGAGCGTATAGCGCGTATACTCGTCCAAATTTCAATTGACATTTAACATACACACGTCACCCTTTTATATTCCGCGATAAATATAGCGCGATGACATGGAGGGACGTAAACCGTCTCCGTCCGACGGTGATATATTGCCATACGACCGCTTACTCTATCGAAATGCAATGACCCGAAGTCGAGATACCTATAGACACTGTCGCACTTGCACATATTTTCACAACACGCATGATATCTCTCCTTGGAGTATTCTAGTTAGAGTAACATTTATTGATAGTAAGCGAATGGGTTCGAGGTTGGTACGGAACCGTAATGAGGACATTAGGCCGGAGAGTGGCGGGCAGGGCCCGTGGGTGGAGAATGGTGCGCCGCCCAAGGTCTGCTGTTGTGGTCGGAGCAAGGGCTGTCGCCTAGTGGTTCTCACTCCGGTGGTCGCATGGCGCGGCGTTTTCATTTTCACCTTGGGCTCTCGTGTCTTGCTCGTCGGTTCTGTCGTGCGCTGGTGAATGGCTCTCGCTCTGTGAAAGGGAAGGGGGCATGGGTGGACAACTTTGTGGTGACGACATCGAGTGACGGCCATGCAGCAGACGCCTCGCGTGGCAAGAAGTGTCAGAACGGTTCGAACTTTGTCAAACGACACGAGACTTGTGCGATGACAGGCTGAGGGGCAGTGCAAATGCGTCGTGGGTCACTGTACAAGGGGCATGGCGATGATAACGTATTTACCTATTGTGAACTTTATTCAATGACTTTGATACGTTGAACGAGACGAGACTTGTGACAATGGTATTTGAGCCCTGCGAAGGAGTGTTGTCGGTAGAGAAAGGGCTGTTTAGGGGAGACACGTGCTTGGGAACGTATACCAATTATTTGTAATTTTGTGGGAGCGGGCGAATGATGCAGGTCAGCGGACCGGAATAGTCAGGCCTGAATGGGCCAGTGAACGAAGAACCAGTGTGACCTTTAAGATCCATTTTCGAAACCTATTCGGAGTCGTATTTACATATCCCAAAATAGAATTAATTAATATATATGTAAACTGGGTGTCTGTAAAACCAGTTTAAGAAGAAACGGAAAAACAACTAAAGGAAAACAGAAAGAGACGCATGGTCGGAGGCAAGCACCACCTGGGTACCTGCTTCCACCTCAAACTAGGTTGATACTCGCGCAAGTCAAGGTGGACTTTTCTTGAAGCTGCACCAGTAGCAGATGTTCCTGATGTTGTTCTTCCAGTGGGTTACTAGTTGCGCACGGGCAGTTGAGGACCTGGGGTTAGTTCCTCACCGAGTTCAGTGCAAATATGTTAGTCTTTTCTACAATGTTGAATTTCCAGTGGACACAATTTTAGGAGATTGTTAAATTCGGCATCATGTAAGTTGCGCTGACAGGTCCACACACTGCTTCCCCGCCCTCCTGCTGATAGTTCACGAGCGTCCAGCACCTCAACCCCCCCCCCCGTTGATAATTCTCGATCGTTGACACCTATGGTTGGCACGCAGATAACAATTTTTTTTTTAAATGGCACTTCATATGAAAAAGGTTGCCGACCCCTGGTCTAAAGTAAGGACCTAGTGTTTAAATGATGAGAATAACCACTCCCAGAAGTATTGATAGTTTGTGGTTGGAGTTGATTTGGACAGCATCGGTGGGTGTAACCTCAAAAAGTCTACTTCCACAAATCTTTATTTTCTTTATTTTATGTTAAACCGTAGTATGCACTGTAGCGAATGATACGTTCCTAAAGTAATCCCTGCAACATCCTTTTTGTATTTCCAAAGCAATTTTGGACTTTTGATATTCTTGCTTATTGTGAAATTGCGCTTTATAGGACAAAACAATACATTCCTGCAGTGCTTTTTATCAAAACTAAACTGCCGTGCTTTAAAGAAAGACCACCTTCCTGTCAAAATAATAAAAACCATTAACTTTTTAAAATGAAACATTGACCTTTAGGGAAAAGAGCAGAGGAGCAATTTTGCACAGGAATGCCTTGTGTTTAATAAGTAAAGCTGTTATCTACTAACTAAATTACCACTTCAATTTCCACGTAGAAACCAAAGCCATTTCAAGGGTGTTTTCAGGCAGCAGCCAAGTCACACAGTAATTGATATTTCCTGCTACTATGTCAGGAATCCATTCCACTAAAATATGGTGTAATTTCCCCCTTTTATCTTAGTTCACCCCTCCCTTTTTCTGTAAAGAATTAACATCATGATTCATGAGTATGGTCGAATCAAGTTGTTTCTTTCTTCAGTACTCTCATCCTCTCCGGACAGACATCATCAGTACAGTGAGTTATTACATGGGGAGTAAAGTGTGTCTGATGTGAGCTGTTGTCTTCCTCAGGGTGGCGGCTCACAGTAAACAGAACCTGATGACTGTGGCTAACCTGGGCGTGGTGTTTGGCCCGACATTAATGAGGCCTCAGGAGGACACCGTGGCTGCCATCATGGATCTGAAGTTCCAGAACATTGTTGTGGAGATCCTCATTGAACACGATGAAAAGGTAACACTCGAGACTGGGATTCAGCAGAGAGCAGTGTCGACTATGCTATCAATAAGTTATAAACCAAACTATCCCTGAAAATGTCTCATAGCAGTATGGCTTCCTATGAAAGTTATCGCTACCTTGTCTATTATAAAAGATACTTTGTTATTGCATTATCTGTTTGATTGGTCAGATCTTTACTGGACTGACTGCACTTTGGAAGATTTCCGTGCAGTGTAACATTTTCTGTATTATTATGTTACGACTTGAAAATCATATGTAAATCAGGTGACACACAGCAGTGTTCATCTACCTGGGTGGCGTGTAATTGTATTGAAGGATATTCAAATACATGTAAATATGCAAGCAAGGCAAAACAGCTACTGTTTAGAAGCCCTAGTCTCTGTACTGAGCGCTTTCTTACTATTGCTCAGAAGTTTTGTATTTGTATTTGGCAGTTTCTCTTGGCAGAGGGGTGCAAACACTGTACTGTACCTGACGCCAGCATTTCATTTCATTTGAGTAAGAGTCTCAATTAGGGTGCATGTGAAGCTCTTCCCTTCTGTAGATCCACTTGGTTAAGGTTGTTTAGACTTATGTGTACTTGCATAACAATCCAGCTTCAATCCAGCTTCTTTAAGCAAATACTCTTGCAATGATAATGCATCTTATTACTTAGTGGTCTGTTTGGATGCATGTGTATCGTATATATTGCTTGTTTCACAAAGTAATGAGCAGAAATACCAGATAATAACACGTGTACCACATTTACATTTGACCTTTGGGAAAACATACCCTTCACCACGTCATTAGGGTGTAGAGAAGTTAGACAACAGTTTAATATCCATTTTTTTATTTAGCCAATAGGGGGAGCCCCAAGTGCTCATACCAGGATTAAACACATTTCATTCTGTTCCTTTTCAGTAGGTTGATTATTCCGTAGATTACCAAATACATTTGATTATATTTGGAAGGTCCTTTTCCTGCCTAAACACATTTATTTAGCTTATGAGATGTTTCGTAACCTGTAGTTCATGGGATCGTGTAATCTCCCCAGAATGTCATTAATCGGTGTCAATCCTCGGAGCGGGATAATTGTCTGTGTCAAAGAGTAAAAGGTTTAAGATTAGTTTTGTAATCTGTTTGGTGCGGCGCTGCACCCTGTGTTGCGTCAGATGGAACCAGGAGATTTGAGGTCCTTTTTTTTACCTACAGCTTCATTAAGTGGAAGATGATGATGTGTTGTGAATAATATCTGAATTCCCAAGCTCACAAACATAAAATGGGGTGTGGGAGGCTACAGAGTGAAATCAAGCATGGTATACAAATGTTTTTAAAACAACAACAGCAGCAGCAGCAGCAGCAACACAGTGTGTACAGCACCACTCTGAGCCGCCCAGAGGCATCCAGCAGCGTCCAGGTGATAACGGATGTAGTGTAAGAATGCAGCAGGAGCCTTTTTAGAAAGTACAGCGTGTTAGAGCAGGGGGGAAGTCGAGCAGACAGACACAGGCATTAACTTCGCTCAAAGCTTAGTCCCACTCCAGACTGTTGATACCCCCAGATACCAGCAGTAGACTCTGCTTTACATTCACCTCCATCTTCAGAGAGGGGCGAGAGAGGGAGAGAGGGAGGCAGCAGAAACTAGTCTCAGCCATATCAGATTTCTCACTTTTTCTATCTGCCTCTCCTAAAAACTTTCTCTCTCATGCCCCCTCCTTCGTGTCTGCCTCCCCCGTTCACACTCACTTCCTCTGCCACTTTCTCCCCCCTCTCTCTCTCTCCTCCCGTTCCTCCCTCCCTCCTCTCCTCGTCTGTGATCCTTTTCTGAGGCTCTGCTGAGACTTCCTCTCCTCTGCAGCCCTATTCTCTTTTAACTCCAGATCTGAAGTTTATATGTAAACAGGGCCCGGTGTAAACAGGCTGCGCCAGTTGGCCGGCCCTCCTCCAGTCCAAACCCTGTTTGTTTTACTCCCTGCTCTTTCCGAGAGTGGGTCAATATCTTTGAGGGGAAATGTCACCTTAACTTAGAACCCAGATTTCTGGAAGGAATGTGATTGCGTTACATGTGGAGCAGCTCTTGTTTATTTTGGCACAAACAAAATCTTCTCACATGCAGTTTTTAGGGTTCAATCAATGAGCTGCTCGGCTCTCCCTGGGAGAACATGCTGCGGCTGCAAATGGCCTTTTACTATTCATCTACTGCTCCATAGCCTGTGAGTTTAAACACCCTGTTCAGCTGAGGTCAGTCGAGGACAAACTGCTAATGCTGTTTGACACCAAGAATATCTGCACTCTGCTTTTAGTGTCGGTAGTGACTTATTGTATTTATATTTTTGTATTCAGATCTTTACAGATGCTCCGGAGTCGTGTCCTCTCTCACCTGCTGCCCCAGAACTCTCTGCTCCCACGAGGCAGTCCAAGAAGCTGAGTCGACAAAGTCGGCCCCTGGCTGTCTACAATCCACAAGCTCTAGATATTCAGACTGGTAAGAGACACGCACATGTGCACCTGTTTAGCTTCACTCCGAATATATTTGAGGGACTGAGTCGTGCAAACGTTTTATAAGATCATAGCAATTGGCAATACTATTGTTTGCTCTAGAACAAAGATTGGACCTTCGGTTTTAGATGTAAACTACAATAATGATCCAGAGATTATGCAACTCAAATATTCATTTATTGAAGGAGCAAAACAGGTTTAAAAATAAACAGAAGTCCCCCCCCCCCCTTGTAGATGTGTGTGAATGAGAGTGCGGGGTCAAGGGGTTTGTGTTTATATGTCACTGTACAAAGAAAACACAGTACTTTACATATACTTTTTTGCAAATGTCTGTTTGATATCTGTGCGGAAACTAATAAAACGATTTATAAAAAAAAAAAAAAAAAAACAGAAATAAAATGTTATCCTGGAAAAATGTGTTTATGAAATAAAAGATAAGATCGTTATCCGTATATCATTTTGAGTTGAAACAGAAGCTCCCTAGAACAGGCAGCCAACGTTTTTTTGACAAAGATCAAAAATGTGTTTATTTAGTAGTAATTTTATAGTAGTCACTCCATTTACAAGGTCATCAACGCTATTTACATGAATGTAGCTATCGCGATGTTAAGCTACCTGGTTTGCCTAGAACTTTTGAATGGCAGGAACACCTCCCCACGTAGCACCACACAATGATCACTATCAACACCTCTATAACAGCGATAACGTATTTGTTGCAAGCCAAGGTACCTAGTATTACCTAATAAACTGGCAAATGAGTGTATTTACGCTTTATTACTGCTCGGCTCTGAATTAATTCACTAATGATTAGCCTCTGTGTTCCCTGGTGACCACTATGGACCCTAGCAGTGTTTGCAGAAGACACACTGAACTCTGTTGCCGGCTATCTGTATTAATATGTGAAGAGAGATTAAATTCTTTAACTGATTTGCCATTTCATCTATTAGTGGATACAAAAGGGAGACTATGAGAGGGGCTCTGGCTGTTCATCAGGTGATCTGATGACCCCAAAAAATCTAACTCCAACTATTTCTGATTCATTGCCAGTCAAATCCCTTCCCCTCCATTCAAAAGGAAAATCTAAATCTGCTTACCAGATAGTCTCTCTTCCTCCCTCGCGCCAACTTTGAGCATGGGGTATTATATTATCAGGGATAAAGGGCCTAATCCTCTTTTAACCTTTGTATATGAGTCCCTCATAATGGTTTGAAAGCAAGTTGTCTCTGCATTCAGGAAGTGTTTGTGAATGCTGCATGAGTTTGTGTTGTGAAGCCCTACAACAGGTAGTGTAGGTGAACATTGTGGGGAAATCAAATTCTAATTATTTTAGATCATATTAGCAAGCTTGTTGGCAAACAGTTGTTTATTTACATATCTAGCAGTTACAGAGCAATATAATTCACTTGGTGCTGTGTTGCTGTTTACCTGGCAAATCTAAGTCTAATATTCACCCTCTTCTTAGCTCCGTGTGGTCTCCAGTGACTTTTGAGGCATATATCTGGCTCTTACAATGCTCAATACTCCACTTTGTTCAACCACTAGTCACCTGTCTGCTATACGTCGCCAAACGGGTGGTGTGACCTCTTTCACATTGTGAAAAGTCAAATTTGAATTAATACCATCTAAATGAAGTGAACACATTGTACATTACTTAAGACCTGTGATGGCCCCCCAGATGCATGCATGGTCCATACAGAATGTATAATAAGCCAATTCTATCTTAATAAAAGATGTGTTTTTGGTTTAAGCTTTTTGATATATGTTTGCTTGGGGAAAAAGAAGAAATGGTAAAAAAAACAAAAACTTTTTTAACATTAACAGCTGCTTCCGTGCCTCCCCCTTCTCCCATACGCAGTATCTTTACTTGACAGTAAAATTGAAATAAAAGAGCTCAGATCTCCCTCGTGTTTCTCCGGTTCCCGTCTCAGACTGCAGAAGAGTATTATCATGAACAATACAACCTTGCTTGTAAGTCACGTCTGTGTTGACAGCAGTTTGATTCATAAAGTCCCCTGTTGATGCAGCTTTGCCTTATACCTTGATCAATTATTCAACCGTTTTATAAGGCAAGTTCTCATCAGTAAGATGGAATAGGCAGCATTTTTACAGTACAATAAAATATATGTAATTAATGTTGTAATTTCCTTTTTTCTTTAAATCTCAGTGTCAGTAGTGGAAGATGGACCCACCCTAGCTACAGATGAGACCTCCATGGGCAGCAACGAGTCTGTGTCGTCTCAGTCGTCGTCAGCCTCGGCCTCGGAGATCTCCACAGAGAAGAACGACCACATCCCGCTTCTTAGCAGCCTCAGCTCAGGCAGCAACTCCAGGTGAGAGCTCAGCTATGTTCAAAGGTGCAGTCTGTGGTTTTAGAGAATGGTTGTTTATTAATTGTTCTAACACAAAAACAAATAAACCATTCCTTTCAGAGCTTCTTCTGAACATTACAATGTGCCAACAAGCGTTCCTCTGCCACCATTGCTTGTCTTTTTATACATCCATGTCCTTTCCTCTGTGCTGCCTGGAAATGAGTTTTGAATCTGGGTTATGACACTTTGTTGGCTTCACATTAACAGAGCTAGGGCTGTGTATAAACACCAGGTTTCTTTGCAGTGCTCACAGAATAGACAGTTATTAGGCCGTGAGGAGATATTCACTTAATCTGCCAAGAAAAGTGTATTAGATTAGAGTTACAGGCTCAGCCTTAAAGTCCAAAATCAATGTGACTGTGCATCAATGAAAATGACTATAGTCATAATGAATCCACAGAGTTTACGTTCACATGTGGGCTGTGTCTACCGAATGGTTTTCAAATGAAATTGCATATTTCTTTTTTAATATTTTAATTACTGTTTTAGGATCCAATGTTTGAGTTGTTTGGATGCTTATTGATCCTTCCCTAGTGCATCCATTAAATCACATTCTATCGTATTCAGACATAGAATACATTCAGAAATAGCATCATATAAGATATAACACAATGTGGCAGCAGCGACACAGTATTTAGCATCGACCAAGATTGATTTTTGAACATTATAAATTCAGCAAATAAGTCCCATTGAGAGTCATCAAAAACGAAAACATTTAAAAGCAACAACTTTGGGCGTCAGCTTCAATGTTAATGCTTTTAGTCAGTTATAGTTTGTCCTTCTATTTCTGTCTCTTAAATATAATAGAAGGAAATGCTTCATCAGTTTGGAGCTTTGCTCCCTCTGGCTTCTCCTTTCTGTCCTCACTCTCCCGACTAAGTCCTTGGTCGTTTTTGTTGTTTCCAGCCCGTGACTTGCCCTGAATGCTGATGTGAGAGATGAATTATTGGGTTATACTGCAGATGTTAGACTCGCTGCTGTGTCATGTCTACAGATTCACCTTGAAATAGACTTTTTCCTCATTCACCGTCCCCTTCTCCTTCTCTGCCAGCTGAAAAGACCTTTATAAATAACGTGAAATCCACAATGTGATTCCTTTCTCACTTTGACCTCTGTGGGTATGTGCCCCCCTGTGTGTGTAGGCATGTTCACTCCCAGTGTTTTCTTTAAGTCGCAGGATCAGATGAGCAATACACTATTTTCTGTAACCAACCCCTTTTTTTGTATCCTGTGGGTATTTCTTTTTTGCACTTTCCTACATATGTGGCATCATGTTGTAGGACGGAAGGAGCAGCCAGGAGGAGGTCGTACATCTCAGCTCTTATTTGTTTGGGAGACAGGTGGCCGTGCGTTGGCCGTGTAAATCGTATTGACATTGGGGAGATATTCATCTTGTTTACCCTTATAGGCGCAGCCCCTGTCCCTTTATGAAGACTTGCGCCATATGTCACAGGGTGTCGCCCTGGCTTTGTTCACTCATAAATCTTAGCGTGTGAGATGGTGGAGACCTGTTAGCACAGCACCTCGCTGGCCTGGAACCCAGGGATTCGGCTTCAGTCCGGGCCAAAAAGAGCAGTCGGGAAGGCAACTGCTAGATTACTTCCAGCAACTCTCAGAAATGTATTATCTGCACTTCGGTGTGCTCAAAAGTGCACCTGGAAAACAGCATATTTTCACCGGTTTCCTGCAGGATAGCTGCAGCACAATCTGCCTGGTCATACACAAATGCATCCTGACTCACTATATCATGCCATGACTCTTTGTGGACTCTGGCATGATTTATCATCTCCGTCATTTTCGATGTCTTGCCTCATTTCTCCGCTTCCCCCTAAATTCAGTCACAGCTTCTCCCCGTGGTACTGTCGCCTCAAGTCCTTCCCAATGACTTTTCCTTCCTCTCTCCTGCCCTACCTCCAGCCCTCCATGCCTCTCGCCGGCAGACAGCTGTGGATCATAAAATGGTGGATCAGAGTTTATTTCCTGCCCACCCAAACTGGCGGTGGCTGTGCGCGCTGCTTGGCTGATGGTTTGATCCCACTTTCTACTAGAAACATTACTAAATCCCAGCGCTGCCCGTCTTCCTTTAGTGAAACGACAGTTGATAGCCCCACTCATCCCCGCGTAAGATCCATGCCAGGATCCACATGGCCTGGATTCAGCAGGGGAAATTCCTGCAGTAATGAGAAGCAGCAGTCTCTGCATGTTGATGAATTTCTCCCTGCTACTAACCTGGCAGCGTGGGACACAGTGTGATAACCCTGATGTTTAAAATAATAAACCAGAAGACCTTCACTTCACCTTGGAATTTGATATTCGCTGTCTTGCATATTAAGATATATGCTTATAAATACTTCCCAACTTTATATTCTTTCAAACCTGTTATGTATATTACAAACATCTCATTTCATTTAATCGTTTATTTGAACCGGGACAATGCACATTAATGAACATTTTAAACAAAGTAATGCTTTGAAATGTAAATGAGCCGGATTTTAGCTTTGAGCTAATTTCCATCCGTAATCCCGTCACATACAACATTTATGAACACAACATTTATATACATGGCAAACAGAAATACATGATTTTCCTTAAAATGATTGTTCAAACCCATTTAGTGTATTTAAACATGTTTTCAGAAGAAGCTTAGCTAGTCTTGTGATGGGTGAAAACAAGGGATGAGCAATTCAAAGCTTGATGCTATTTTTGCTGACGAGAAATGGCAAACGATTTCCCTCGGTTTGGCTTAGCTCTAATTGTGAAAGCGATTTTGGAATGAATCCATTTACCTCTGGTACATTTAACAAGTTTCTAGGGCAGCCATGTGGCATGCGCTGATTTCGAACTGTTTCATCTTTAATTATTTAGATATCTGTTTATTTTGAAAGATGTTTGCAGATCTGTATAATCCTCTTGCAGCAGGAATAAGCATTTAAGATATGCGGACTTCTCTATCTGAATTCAGTTGTCGAGTTTGTTGTGTGTTGGTTCACCTGCAGGTGGGTGAGGTGTGGTGTTCCTCTGCTCTCCCTCCTCTTGGCTGTGACCCAGCAGACAGTGGTTGTGCTTGGGCCCAGGTTAATGAGTGGATTTGCTGCACTGCAGCGCACGTTCCCCCCATGCTGATATGGAGCAGCTGAGCACCACAGTGGCCCCACACTGCTGCAGAGCTATAAATCAGCCACAGTCAGGCCAGGCCCGAACAGAACGGCCACCGCTGGGGATGGACAGGCGCACCGGGAGGGAGGCAGGGGAAGAAATTGCGGGAGGAAGTGTTGAAGAGGGGGGGGAATGAAAGCGTGAGCCCAGTGCCGTGTGCTCACCTATGCCTACATAAGATCCCCTACCATGTTCCCCCACAAAGCTCTCTCTCTTCCACCAATGCCAACGTAACCACTCTTCACAACATCCTCTCAACCCCCGGCCCCTCCCCAGCTGCTCTCTCTAATTGCCTTTATTAACGTCTCTATGGGAGCGGCAGCTAGGAGCAATTTGCTCATTATGTACTGTATTAACACTGGCCTTGGGGCAGGCATGGAACACAGAGGGAAGCCTGGCTTGGACTCCTGCTCTCTCTGCTGCACTCTGCCTTTATCAGGACCCCTACCTCCATCCTGTAGGGGGTCATAGACTCATTGGCCCCGACAGCAGCTAGAGAGAAGCACAGCTACAACTGTAACCGATTAAGCTTACGGTGAAAGTGTTTAAACTTTCAATGTCCATGTTGTTTTCAGATTATGACTTAAAGCTCATAAACAACGACGCTAGCAGCACATGATTGCACCATCGGCTTTGGCAGAGGTCTGAGCTCTCCGATTCTAGTTTTTAATGTACTCTATTTCAAGAGATACAAAGTGTAATTTTAATTGTGGATGTCACCCTAGTTGTGGTTGAACAAAGGTTTGAATTACTTTAATACTTACAGTAAAGCAAAAAACTGGCCCGTAAATATAATATTCCTAAAGAATGATTCATTCATGACTGTTAGCATCTCTTATCCTGAATCCACCCTATTCGTGCTCAATCCAGATATTTGAGTGAGTGAGTGAGAATGTGTTATCTGTCTGGTCTGTGGACTCGATGAGTTTGCGGTTGGACAAGTTAATCTACAACTACTGTATGTTAGGAGTTGGCTTAAGATGTGGAGCACAAGACATTTCAAAGCTTTGGTACAGAAGGTCAAATACATTTCTTTGCTTGAGTTTAAATAGAAGACCTTCAGAGAAACATATCAAAGACTCTCTTCATGTTTTCCTCCCAGGTTAATGTCAAGAGCCAGTCCTGCTGAAGAGCAGATAGAGAGAAATGGATTCTTTGATTTATGAAAGCCTGTTGTCCTTGTTATGGTGATGCATGGACAGCCTGCACGCAATAAGCAACAGACAGCCCCTGTAGCTGCTGTACAGTGGAATGAAATATGTGGGGATATTGAATTGATCTGCTCTGTTTACCTAAATAGATCTCAAAAGACGAGTTGACCCAAGGGTGCAATGATTTATTCTATCTTGAATTATGATTGTGAACTTATTTGACTTTGCCTTCATGACACAGAATTGACAAAACATCTCAAGGTAGCGCAGTGAAAACGTTGGTGGTTGATGGTGACGAAGCAGTTGTTGTTCTCGATGGGTGTAGAAATGTATTTTCGCCTTGTTCCCATATAACAGGTGCCTCAGTATAGCTCACCTTTTGCTTTGATGCCACCCGCTTACAGTAGTTGCTATCAAAATTGAATAACTTAACAATGTATGAGAATACATTATGATTGTCTTGGCGAATTCCTCACCTTCACTTTGTTGAAAAGCCAACACGTTGAAACATTCTCACTGTCTTCCCAAGTGAGAGATCTAAGGCTTTATTGTCATTGTCACAATAGCTCAAGAATTGCATTTAGAAATTAATATCTTAGGTCCCATGCTCCAACAGTGCATCATACTATACTTAAGATATGCAAAGGAATAAAGAAATAAAATAGGGCAAGAGACATACAAGTGAAATGGAAGAATAAGGAACTATACATATATAACATAAAGCTGAATTTAAAATAAATACTATACAGTAGAATACATAATGGATGCTGTAATAATATATACATATGTGGATATTCTTAGAATCAGAATACTTTATTTATCCTTGGGTGAAATGAGGGTTTGTATCAGTTGCTCCATTTTATAATAAATAGATATGTATCAGAGTGAGAATAAGAAATCCTTTATTAGTCCCGCAGCAGGGAATCGGTACATTAAATGAATTAATATTAAATATGGAGACAAGAATATGAAGACAGTCACACGTTAGTAAATAAATGAAGGTGTTGAGTTATTATACAAATGTATGATTTGCACATGAAATAGATTTTTGCACAGTAGAACTTCAATCACATTATTTAACCATAAAAGGTAAAAGCAGACTTTCCATATAAATACAATAAACGTGTATCTTCAGAAATGTGTACAGTGGTGTATTATCAATGAAGAAGGTAATGAATGGAACAGTTGAAGAATGGAATAAGTTATAGAGCCTTTTGTCCCCTACGCCACAGTCTCTTTCCACACAACAGACATCCCCATAGTGTGTTTTAGAGGTGTTTGTTTTCTCTGCAGGGAACCCACAGCAGGATCTTCGCTGTCCGCAGCCCCAGAGAGCCAACCTGCCTCCACCACAGCTGAGAAAGAAAAGCCAGAAGAGAGGTACGACCCCTCCTTTATATTTACCTTTTCCCTCCCAACTGTATTTAATCATTGACTTCTTTTCAGTCTTTATCTCTTTCGTTTAGTCATCTCCACACTCTGGCTAAATGTCACACTCTGGGATTCTTTCACTCTCTAAGTTTTCACTCACTTGCTCCATTTCTCGTTTCCTCTCCTTATCTTGCATGTTCACTCAACAGAATAACCTTCTCCCTCGCTCGTCTAACATCTACTTGAAGATTTGCACATCAATATTTCCCCTGACTTTTTCCATGTATGTACTAGCTGTTCATTTGGCTTGCTTTGAGGAATGTTAATGTATGAAGTATTGGCTCTAGCCGGGGCAGCAGCGGCAGCCTGTTCTCCTTTCAGTCAAACCCCAGATACACACAGAGGTATTTAACCAACAGGATGGGACTGTGCACACCGTCCGCCCATTACACTGATCTATTGCTCCGCTTCCTTCAGACCTAATGATGAATTCATGTTTAAACGTTATCGAGTACAATCGTAAACAGCTCGGTCATTCTTTGGGCAATCCATTAATGTTATTTCCTTATAGAAATACAAATCCTCATTTCTTCCAAATGTGTTTCCGCCAGAAAACCTATCCAATCCTCAATTCAAGAGCTCGGCTGAACATTGTTGTATTGACAACTTTGTGACCACAAACTTTTTTTTCAATTTGAATATCTTCTTTTCACTCTCTTCATCCTACATTGTCGCTGCTCGGCAGAGAGAGAGAGAATTTGAAATATTTATCAGGGCATCGTGAATTGAAGGCAGAATTTTGACATGGTAATGTTTCTGGCATTCAAGATAACAGTTTGCAGTGGTGGGCAAAACAACCTTTTTGTGGCAATGTTTTTTTTTTTCGTTATGTTTTCCGGAAGCGCAATTGCATAAATACGCCTTTTTACTTAACGTTTTCAGAGTGCGGTGAATATGGCCTCTTTGACGGCGCTCTTTGACATCAAACTGATTTAAAATGCAGCGTCTGAGCCCACAAATGTGAGTTAAAAAGCTGAAGCAGCGTGGAGAGAGATTTCTATTCTACCTCTGCGTGTGTGCAAAGCTTCTTTAGAATCCCCCCGCCACTTTTTAATTATCTCACCATAGATGGTTGTCTGCTGTGCGGACCTGATGTGTGGCTGCCTTTCTGGCTCTACAAAACCTGTTACAGACAGCGCTGAGCTCAGTGTGTTGTGTGAGTGTGTGTGTGTGTGTGCACGCAAACAGGTGCGTGCGGGTCTGTTTTGACTCACTCACTGCTCTGTCTAGACTGGAGATAGGGCAAGACAAGAGTGTGTAGCGGCCGGCTCCTCTCTTTTTAGTTTTTTTGCTTATATTCCAGCCTGGCCCGTTGCTGCTGTTTCAGGCTAGTGAGTGAAGGAGAAGCAGGCCCCGGGCCCAGATTGAACCGTGCGGTAATCCTCCCCAAAGCTCCGCCAGCTCACTGATTGCCTTCATTTTTCAGTGTCACCAGCAGGAAAGCCAAGGCAGTGTTCCCATGTGAGGCTGAGCACGACTCTGAGCTCTCCTTCCAGGTCGGCGCAATATTCAACGCCGGTAAGTGTTATCGCCTACACCAGTCGCTCACTCAGAACCAGCCCCGGCATATTGGATTTGGAGGAAAAACCGAACACCACAATCTGATCTTCAATCGAACAGAGAGATGAGACGAGGAGAGGGAAAGCAGGGGGGGGAGAGCAGATTTGCTCTTCAGTGTGTCTGGAAGAGGCTCCACTGAGCTTTAATCACTCGCAGAGGAAATGAGGATCTTGTAGTTCCAATTTTTTGGAGACACAGTCAATATGGATATGGTATATGCTTTACTCGGAAATGTGGTGATTGATAAGGTCCCAAAATGCAATGCAGTCCTGGTGGGTTTTTTTTCCCCTTTCTGCTTTAAAGGTTCCATCAGATTCTTTTTGGACATTTTTAGCATCCGCTGTCCTGAAATATAAGTAGCGCATCACCCATCAAAATTATAATAGTATAAAGTTATGACTACGATGTCAAAATCTGACAGCAGCCATTAATAAATATGGATTAGACGACTAAAGCCCTCCGTCAATCATATTATTATCTACTGTACGTACAGTATTTCCTGTTGTGAGTCCTGCACTTTAAACCCATCAATGCTTCATGTTGGTGGAAGGAGTTTGAGTCAGGATAAAGGCCTATGATGGCAAAATGTGTGTTATTAGAAAGTGGATTTCTAAATCATAAATAAGAACACATATTATCTGAAAAATAATAACACAAAATGAATAAAGAATCACATTTAACATGTTTTTAATTAGTTTAAATTAGAGGAAATTATCTTATTTTGTTGCTTAGATGATTTGGTTTGTGAAAGTATTGCTGAATGATTTATGTTTGTTTTGTATTTCGTCTTCGAGTTAGCTCCAAACAGAGTTCTGTTCATACTCTGCCGTCAGCAGGCTTCACAGGAAGTGACAGACATGTGACATTAATGTGACATTATGAGGCTCCTTAGCTCTACATCTGCAGTATGTTGAAGACCCTTGACATTTTGCCCGTCTATTCAGTTTATTATGTGTGTGTACTTATGGGTTGTTTTTGCCTGAGATATATGTGCATAACAAATGAATGTGCAAAGGGTCAGGAGGTTTGAATACTTGAGCTAGCCACGACTGTACATACTGTATAGTTTGCCTACAGAAAAAAAATCAACATATGTTGAAGTTTTCTCACCCTTAAACTGAAAGGAGAACATTGCCCTACTTATTTATTTTCTGTAAGGCACAAACTGTAATGACTGTTGGTTAGGCTTGGTTCAGTTTAATGGTGTCATATAACTATACCCAGTCATGTATAAACCAACCACACCGTACACAAAGAAAAACAGGTGAGAGTTAATGCTGAGGTTTTAAGTTGTGTGCTTATTGGAAAAAGCACACTGACTGTAGATCTAGTTTATTCTTATATCTAGCATCTGGTTTATTATGTATTGACTAATGAATAATAAAAACACATTTGGCAAAGAATATCCTAAAGATAGCAGCAACATAATCCCCTCGCAGTTTGTTATCGTACTCAGATAGGGGAGGGGGTCTTTGTTTTTCTGTTGTTCCTCATTTTAATGGGGACAAGCTGATATAAAAACACCTTTAACAACGGCGGAAAACATTAATAATTCAGAATGACTTTTCTTCCTGTCGTAGCTCTTGCATTTGAAGACAGACCTGTCAGTCAATTTGGAAGTAAAAGCAGGTTCAACGTGTTTGGTTGGTTTTGAATTTTGGTGGCGGGTCAACTCTTTTGATTACCTGTATGAAAATAAAATGTTCTTGTTCATTCCATTCACAATACACACGAAAGCCCTGTCGATCAACACATGTCTTTGTGTCGTGAGGCTGACTGAGACATGTTACAAGAAGTATTGATTTAGTTTATGTCTCCATTTTCCTTGGAAGTTCTCACTAATTGCAAATGCTCTCACGATTTTCAATTGACTCACTTTGGAGACATTTTCAGGAAACATGGCACTGAAGTTATCTTTTCTCCGACACACCGCCATACTAAGTAGCTTTGTCTTGCATCTGAGGTTAGACTGAATTTTAGAATGAAATTGGATCTTTAAACAAAGCTGAAATGTGCAATGGACGTCTCAGTGGAGTTTAGTGTAACAGCATAATCACCGCATCCTCTTCATACCTGCGCTCTCTCTGCTCTGATTCATGCTGTATACTCACCCGAGGCACCGTGTCCTCTGCTCTGCCCCCTCCCCTCTCTGCTGTTGCCCCTCCCACCCCCCCTCCCCCTTTGTGACGCTGTTTCCTCTCCCGCAGTGTTCAAGTCGCGGGAGCCGGGCTGGCTGGAGGGCGAGCTGGAGGGAAAGAGGGGCCTCATCCCTGAAAACTACGTGGAGTTCATGTAGCGGCAATCACAAATATTTATGGACAAATTATTATCACCTCCCCCGGGAAAGATATGCTGAGATACAGGTGCTTCAACTCTGACATTCACCATAGAGCCTTCTTTATCCAATTCCCTGAATTATCTCAAGTAAGTGATGTTATTACAGGTGGACCATTCTTCATAGTTTCTCTGTTTGAATTTACTTTGGTCGAGTATCCGCATGGATTTCAGCATTGCACTTACGATATCCTGCCTTATACAAAGATGCTGTAGCCTCTCAAAATCCAGGTCGCTTTGTAGCAGCAGGGAAAGAGCGTCTCTCCGTCAAAGGCCTCGCTCGCGACCCGAGTTATACATGGTATCCATGAGCTCCCAAGTCAAAGAACGATCCAGAAACCGTAAGGAAGAATGTCGGCACTTACTGTAACCTGTTTTTGTAAAGGCAATTTTTGCAGCTTTAGAAACTCTCGACAATGATGCTACGTTTTGTTTTCAGCTTTTAAGAGATTAGAGATACTGTTCCTGCCGTGCCTTACCGTCAGAACACCCAGTGTAAATGTGTCCCGGTGTGTATGAGCATTTTATTGGAGTGTTACTGCTTTCACTTTGAAATTGTTGTGTTTTCTGTCTTCTTAAGATGTTCAAAATGAGGCACATTGCTACAGTAATTGTATTTAATTTAATTGGCACATTGATTGCATGACTTTTGAATTCATAAACACACTCTACTGTTTTGTTCTTGGCGCACTCCCTTACAGAAACACAGTGATACGCCTCTGATGACTGAAAAGCCTCGTGTTTTAACACTAGGGACATTTAAGTTGGCAGTCATGATTGATACCAAGTGTTCTGTATCTGTTTAGTTTATTTTTAAAGGTTATTTTAACGTTGCTCAGTTTCCTTTTGAGCAGATAAATGAGACACTCCCACAAAGTTAGCATTTTGGTTTAACTATTTTATCTTCAATGTCAGTGATACAAATCAACATTTTATTAACAGCTAGACCAAAGAATGCAGTATTTTACATCCGTTCAGTGTACATAGCCTAAGTATAAAAATATATATGACTGCCAAGTATGTTTTACAAGCGTCTGTTAGGTGTTTGTTTTTCTTATGGATTGGTTTTAGCATGAACACGTCTGATTACAATTCATCCCTCAGCTGTTAAACAAGACACTTACATTTAACATTAGAGCTTTGGTTCAAGTGCTATAATTTAAAACATTGATTTATGACGTTTGTAAAAGGCCTTGACTTCTTTCATTGTTATACCTTTGGGTATCCTGTTGATCAATGTTAAACAAATAAAGATTGTTTTTGTTCTTTACTGTATGTGATGAATGTTGATTTTGAAACTGAATTGTTGTCAACATTTTTCATTTAACAATCTTATCTCAGGCAATGATTTAATTCACAGAAGTTTCAGCAAAGTTATTGAACTGGATTTGTTTTCTAAAACAAGTTACAAATATAAAGTATGTGGACAAGAATAAGGTCATAAAAGTTTCTAAACTAGGAGATATAATAAGTGTTAACTTTTTATTTGGGGAGTATAGCCAATGTGAAATCCAACACTATTTTTCATTTGGTGATGACTCATGTATTTAGTCTCTGAGAAGTCCCACAGTTAAAAAACTAAGAACACCTTTCACTGCAGCCAGGGCTTTCACGATAAGCCATGCAGTGCAAAGTTATCCTGCCTCTTTATATTGACCTGCGCTGGTCAATCTTACCTATACTCTAACATAACTTCCCAAAAAGGAATCAAAATGAGATTGTTACCTTGACTAGAGAAACTCAGACTAATCCACCGTCCTCACCGATTAACATCTCAGCCTCATGTTAATTCCTAGACTACATCACTGTAACTAATTAACACACGAAGAGCCTCCAGACTTGCTGCTTTAGCCTCAGTTACATAATTACTACGTCCATCAGCACACTTAGACCTCCAGTTGGTCTGTTGCTGCGCTGTTTAGAAGTATAAACACATGAAGATAGTAAAGGTTGGAGCTGTGGTGTCAGTGTAACATGTGACCACATCACCCTGAAGCAACTGCAGATGCCAGGATTACATAATGAAATGAGGGAGAGCTAATGAGATGGGCAAGAATATTCCCCCACTATCCATCCCTCAGGCCCTTCATCATCAGCTTCCCTCTGCCAGAATACTGCTGAATCATTGAGACATCCGCCCCGCCTGCCTCTCACTCTGCTTTGGACTGTCTGTCAGAGAGCGGCCATGTTGCTCTGCTTCCTCTGCCTCACCTGTCCTTGTCTCAGGAGGGTTTGAACTATTTCTATCTTATTCTTGGCTTCCTTCTTTCTCCTATTGCTTTCCTACTCCTCAGTTAAGCAAAGGACATCATTGGTAATTTGGTGGTCTGCCAGTGAGCTGCCTAAATATCACTTGAGTTTGTGTTACCTGTGTCTATGAGTCAAAACTGCTCCACCAAATGGAAATCTGCCCAATGATTGAAGGCAAACCCTTTTAGACACTATGAAGCTAGCTAGCAGGAAAAAAAATTGAGGATGGCCAAGAACATTGTCTCGAACCCCCCCAAAGTCCTGAACAGAAAATATTAATACATATAAACAGAAAATACAGAGTTTAAACCAATGTAATTGTACATTAAACATAATGTACATTAAAGTGTCATATATAATATTGTCATCAGTTATTTTAATATTTTGTTAAATGTCCGCGTCCTGTGTCTTGTATTAATGGGGTCGTTTTTGTGCATGTAAATGGTCTGCAAAGGTTCAAATCCCAAAGTTCCCTCCAGAGGGAGATTCTCCTTCCGCTCTGCCTGAAATACTTCCCCTGTTTTTTGCTTTTGTACTTCGTAACATAGTGACATCACTATGTAACAGTTTGCTTATGTTAGCTAGCTTTACAACACATTATAAGTGATAGGCTAAGGGGCGGGACATTTCTAGGTTTCAAGAGGTTCGCCAATCACAACAGAGCTGGCCAGCTAACCAATCAGAGCAGACTGGGCTCTGGTTTCAGACAGAAGGTGAATAAAGGTGCTGCAGCACAGGCGGTATGAGAAATTAAACAACCTTTTTGAACATTTAAGCACGTAAAGATGTCACAGTAGAGACACAAAATACAAATATAAACCTGAACATGAGCATGATAGAGCCCCAAACTTGTTTCCTTGTCGATGTTGCAAATGCAGCGGCTTTGAAGCAAGACAGATTCAGGCTTGATCTGACAAAGTATTATCGTATCTTATGTGAAGTATTATGCATAAGCATCTGTCAGTCTGGGATTGCATGCATACTTGGGCCAAACCGTATCGATTTAGACCAAATGTAATGTAAGAGCGTTTGAGTAAAACTCCAGATGGATGTTTTATTTCTTATTTCCTGGCTGAGTCCTGGCTGTGTGCCAGCTGTCCTCTGCCTCCCATGACGCAGTGTCCTTCAGCCTTAAAATGTAGTCCAACGCCGTGACTCAGCTGAGATCCAAGCCTACAGCAGTTTAGCTCAAACGATGAGCAAATGACACAACTAAGTGCCACAATTGTGTTTCCCAAAAGTGCCCGTCTAGAAGCTCTAACTCAATACATTCCTGCGTCTTCATCTGGTTCCCTTAGAGTGCTCAGCCTCTGAAATATAAACACAATAAGATTTGATATATTATTGGGGGTGAAAACTGAGTGGGAATTTGGAGAAAAGTGAATTTCAAACAAACGAGAGTGTGGAGGGAAAAAAATCCCCCTTTAGCTCAGAGTGGGCTACAGAAGCCGCCATGTGCGCGGGCGCAGCCGTGAAATCAGCCTGATCCAATAGATTCTGTTTATCTGGCACGACTACAAGTGAAAGCAATTGGAAATCTGGGGGAGATTTGGAGAAGGCTGTGGATTCGGATAGCGAGAGAGAGAAAAAATGAGCAAAAAAGTAATACTGTCTGCTCTACAGTCTGGCAAAGCAGGCGTGTTTTCAGATCAGCCTTTAACAAGGTTAATGGTGATTTTTCTCCACAGGCACCGTTTTACTGTAAAAGCCTCATCTTCGCATGCTTTATCTCTGTCATTTTTACTCTCTTCTCTTTCCGTTTCTCTTTGTTCTCTTCATTTTCTCTCCCGCTGCTCCAGATCATCTCTATTTTTCTATGCTAACTGTGCTTTTTTGGCTCATTATCCTTACCCAGCCACTAAATGCAGCTGTTTCAAATTCACGCAGATCAGACAAATAATTTTTTAGGCCACCTTTTCGTAGCTTCGGTCTCAGAACAATTTTCACCTAAAACAAATACATACAACCAACAAATTACATCACATCAAATAATCAATTTTACAGTTTTATTAGAATCTTGCAATAGTTTTGCAAACACATTATGGCAATATCTGCATCAAGATATACAGTTGTAACTGGTTTTATTGGTTTATGGTGAAATATGTCTACCGTATGTTTGATGGATAGTTATTGAGAGAAATATTGTACAAAGCATCCGAGTAAAAAGTAATTTTTGGAATTGAAAAAAAGCATTTGTATATTTCATATTAATAAGAAATGCACCGCCATGGCTGTGGAGATATGGCTTAGTCTCTCTTCCCCCGATCATCGCCATGAATAGAAAATGGCAAAGATGTCACACAGTGACGCGATGGAGACCTGTGTGACAGCTGAACACGTCCTGACTCATTCATCATGCCTAAGAGAAGTCCATTTAGATGGAGACTTTGGAAATGACGCTGCTCATTACCATATCATTGCAGTAGGTGTGCATTGATAGCCAGTATATAAATAGTTCAATCATTTTTTTCCCTTTTATAGGTTTAGTTTGACAATTTGCTTTGTTGCAGAGGAACAGATTAGGAGATTTATACCACATCGATTCATAATAAATCTAAAGCTACAGCCAGGATAGCTAAACTACAGCCAGGAGACGTTAGCTTAGCTTACACGAGTCAAGAAGAAGTTATCTCAGGACACTTTCCAAAAGCAGGTATACGCTTTTTGATTTAAAAAGACCTAACATATCATTCCTCCATTAGCAACATCGAGCAGAGCCGGGCCCAGTGTGGATGCCAATCTGCCCTTTTTATAGCTTAGCATAAAACTAGAAAAAGGGTATAGCCTGACTCTGTCTACAGGAAACTAAAGCTCAATAATTAACATGTTATCTGTCTGTTTAACTCTTTAAAACGAAGAAGTCAATGTGATTAAAGTTTTTGTTTTACTGGGGGATGATGTTTTGGACTATTTCTTAGCCAAGTGCAACGACTTCCTAACAATCCAGTCAAAACCCCCATAAAGCTACAACTTAACTTTTTTTTAACTCTTATTTATTTGTCAGAAACAATGGTAAGTGTACTTTAATTTTGTATCCGTTAGACAGTGCTAGCCAAGCTGTTTCCTGCTGCCTCCAGTCTTTATGCTAAACTAAGCAAGCATTGTCCTGGCTGTAGCTTCATATTTACCGAACAGACATGAAAATGCCAGCAATTTTCTCATTTAACTCAGCAAGAAAGGGAATACATGTATTTTCCAAAATGTAAAACTATTTTTGAAAAAAAAAAAAAATAGCAAAAACTATGCATATATATTTGAAGTGCATGGGCTGAGAATATTATTGGTAATATTCTTGTATAATCAGGAATCTAATGTGTGAAGATTTGACGTTTTTTCACATTAACATTCTTTTGGTTTTGTTTTATGATTGAAAATTATTTTGGCAGTTAGTGCAAAAGGTTCAGTTCATAAACTGGTCAAAACCTGTCATTTTTAAACTGGATAAAGTTGGTCTACAGTTTCTACATTGATTACTTTATTTCATTTCATGTGTGCATTAAGTTTTGCTTTTTTTTTTAAAACTGAAAAGTAAAGAACTCTCTTTCACATTTTCCAGTTTGAATAGTTTGTGATTTCTTGATTTTATTGTGGGGCTCATCAACAATACCGCCACAGGTTAGGAAATAATTTCAACAGCAACAACTCAAGGATCCATAACTTGACACATCTTGTTACAAAAAAAAGAAATACTTTTTGATTATTATTATTTTTTGTTTGAGCCACTTGAACAATGATGCAAAAAGTAAAAATAAAAAAGATGCGAAATCAAATAACTTTACTGAATAAGAAGATAATAAATGTACTCTCTCTAACATTCAGGTAGTAAGTTCCATAAGTCTCTCACAATGTATGATACATTCATTTCTCTACTTGGCCCTTTCTGGCGCCAACCCTCACTGTAAAATTTTCTCTGTGATCCGACACAGAACATGGCGAGTGGGAAACACACATTTTTCCAATATTCCAACAAGATGGTTAAAGTAGAAATGTTTTATACTATACTCAACATAAGGACTTGCT